CTTCATACTTTCCTAATTTAAATCGGTATAGTTAACTATTTTTTTATTTACATTTTATCCCCGACAATTTCACGTCGGCGTAGCATAACCAAAACATAATTATATAATATAAAGTTTTTTTACTAGTTTGAATAATTTCCACGGTTTTTGGGTTATTAGGATAGTTAGTCTTGGGAGTGGTCATTAGTCTTGAGGGTAGTTCATTGGTCTTGAGGGTGGTATCATTGAACTTGGAAACGACACTATCATTATTAGTGCTCATTTTACGTTCTTAAATACAAAAATATAATAAGTAAAATTCGTTTTCATGATCAGGTAAAAAAAACTTAAATATGAGCAAAAAAATATTATTATAACCCACCCAACAAGAAACAATAAAATCGCCTACTTTTATACAGTCAGACCCCTCTAAATACATAGCTGAGTGGCGACCAAAAAATCTTGCATTTAGAGAGGTATTGCATTTAGGGAGGTAAAAATCATAAGTGTTATATGAGTTGGGGCCAAATAAGGTCACGCATATAGAGAGGTCTTTCATAGACTATGCAAGGAATATACATTTAGGGAGGTCTGACTGTACTTCACGTTCATTAGATCTTAGAACCCGCCAGAAAGAAAGTCATTACGTTTCCCTAACACAGTACCAGATACTTAACAAAGCAACTCCGTTCGGTCATAAGTAAATATTTTGTCATTTTTTTTAGTAAAATTAAAACCCCTTTAAATTCAACGATCGGTACTACGAAGTAAAAAAGACAACGATCTCAACGATCTGGAATTCCAAGTTCCTGCAACATATGAATTTTGATAATACCACTGATAAAGAACGTTATACTATTCTTTTTTATGCCCCTTTTAAGTTCCATTTGTGCTTTTTCTTATCTCAGGATACGTACGTACGTAGCGATAACACTGTAGATTCAGTACTGATTCGTCTGTAATGGATTCTTTAACTAAGATTGCATAGATCTGCATATTACGTAGACTTGAAAAATGTAAATTATTGGTTTAAAATTGATTACGTAGTTCAACATTAATACCAATTTGCATTAAGAAATTTATTACAGGTAAGTTCAGAGTACAGTAAAAGCAATTTAAAACAGTGCACCAGAAATTACCAACATAGTACTAATATATGTTTACGCATATAAAATTTTACTATCCAACGTTTTTATATGTAGCCACAATTAAACAAAAGTTTACTTACATTATATACAATTAAAAAAAAATAATAATAATAGAATAAAAAAATAATAATAATAAAATACATAATAATAATAATAGTAAAATTTTGAAACTAATAAATAATAAATTTCAATTTATAAGTATTTAAAGCCTGTATTAAAAATTACATTACAAAGAGCTTTTATAAATTTTATCCAAAAAATCATGATTCTATAACAGTTGGTAAACTTTATTAAACCAACATATATTTTAGCAAATCATCGACTGGTGAGAAACAGACCATGCATTTCAATATATGTCAAGTCTTTGAAAAGATGTACGGACGGATCTTTTTAGTTTTCCATATCATTTCTCATAGTTCACTAAATAATGAATAGTTCAACAACTGAAGAAAGAATAGCCATTGAATTACGATTTCAGGTGAAGGTAATAACTTAATCCTTTTCATTAGAATTTGGATCCCCTGTTGTTGGAACTGCTGTTAAAGGTACATTTTCCGGTGCTGGTGAGTTTGATCGAGTAGTATTACTTGATGGTACCACGAAAACCGGAGTTGAATGTGGATCAGGCGAAGATGAACGAGCGACTTGTCTAATATTTATAGAAGGAGCAAGCAGGTTAAGTAAAACAAGCAATTTAAGTGAAGAATAAAAACGCGATAAATTCATGTTTTTTTTAACATACATTGTACCAGTCTGATTTTGTTCATCTGCATTATTAGTACTATTAATAGGAGACTCCAAAGTGTCCTCAACAGAATCGTCATTCCAAAGTGGTAGCCACCATCCGCCTCTTCTGCCATCCTCAGCCTTGATAAATCCACGAACATTTACAAGATTGGATAAAGGCGGTTTGGATTCAAGATTTGCGAAAAAGCTGGAAGGTGGCAATATCTTAGGAAGATATCCAAAAGCGTCTTTAAACCACAATTACCAAAGAAAATTTTATAACAGTGAGAACTTATAACAGAGAGTACTATATTCATAGTCAATAATACAATTAGGATTAAAAAATGCTTACAAAAATAACCAACGAATAGCCCGCATAGATAACTGACGAACCATTCACGTTGAAGCATGATCTCCAACAGCAGCAACACCAGAGGATAAAAGTGAGACGGAACCCTGAAGAGACCAAAAATCCTGTATCCGCAAAAGTAGA